CCAAAACAGTTCAGAAAGCACAAAGGGTGAATGGATACAGAGAACCTGGGGAGGAAGTGGGAAGAGTGTTGGTACATTGAAAGAATTGCAACTAATGTTACAAAACAAAATGTGTATAAATTATTGAATGGAAAATGAATTTGCTCTGTAAACTTTCATCCAAACCACAATTAGAAGAAGGAGAAGGCCAAGGTGAAGGCAAATCATTCTATAGCATCTTTGAGCAATACATTTGGGTGGCTGGGCACCATCCAGTTCTTCTGGTCTCATGGCAAAGGAGATAGTTGTTCATGAAGGTAATCCACATTCCCTTTACTAAATTCCCATATTGATTAAAAAGTTTCTTGTTAACTTGACCTCCTGTGCCCTGGAAAATATCTCTGGTCACAGTGGTACAAATTTTAAAACACGTACTCTTCTACTTATCTTACTTAGTCTTCAGTTAGTATTAATTTTCTTGGGCTTCCAAAAAGGTATATATACTTCTTGGTTATATTAAAGCAAAAATAGTACTAAGCCAATTACAGAAATTGAAGTTTATTTTATATATATATATAAGCAAACTCAGTGCCGTTGAGTTGGATCCTACTCTCCTAACTCTCCTACTCATAGCAACCCCTCTTTGGGTTTCCTAGGTGGCATCACTATGGAAGTAGATTGCCCAATCTTCCTTCAAAGGAGAGGCTGGTGGGTTTGAATTGCCTTCTGGTTAGCAGTCAAATGCCTTAGGCACTATGCCACTAGAGCTCCTTATTTAATATGTGATTTGCAAATTGGAGCACATTTCTGACTAGAGTCAAAAATGTTCAAAGAAGAAAGATCTTTCATAGATTTTTGTATTCCATCTTATTTCTAGTAATCATGCATTGCCTTGGAAGTAGAGCAGGAATAGATAGAACCAATAAAATAATTTGTGGTTATGCAGGATTCCATACAGCATTGTCATGAAGAACAGTTAATTACTGATTGACCCTAAAACAGAACTTCTAATGTGACCTTCGGGGCCTCAGTTAATTGAAACCGCGTAGACAATTCTCTCTAAAAAAAAAATCGCAGTGCCCCAAGACAAAACATTCTTTGCTGCTTGACTAAAGAGTCCTGGTGGCACAATGATGAAACACTTTGCTACTAACTGAAAGGTCAATAGTCTCAACCCACCAGCAGCTCTGTATGAGAAATCTGTGGCACTGTGGCAATCTACGTTCGTAAAGATTACAGCCTTGGAAACTTCTTGGGGCAGTTCTACTCTGTCCTACAGGTCACTCAGAATCTACTTGATGGCAATAGGTTTGGGTTTTCTGGTATTGTTTATCTCTAAGGTGACTTTTAGGAAACTAGTTTTTTCAAGACTTAAAGTTCAAAGATCATCTCAAGGCAATAGCTTGGGTGGCTCATCTCAACCTCCATGAAATCCAGAAATCTGGTTTTAATGAGAATTATAAACTCTGTTGTTCATTTACTTATTTTGAATAGTTTAGTATATTTTTCCAAAATTTGTTGGTAATATTCTAGAGAAAGAAACAATTCTATCTTCTGACATAATACTTTACTTATGTAGGATACTTATATTTTCATTTTCACCTCTGTCAAAAATAAAACTTTGACAATATTGAATTTGTATTTGAACTCATTAGTTTTATTATTCAGTTCATGAACTGGGGAACACCTGGTCTGGAAGTTAGAAGAGAGTTCTGAAGATGTGAAAACTTCCAGAGATTGTTATATTCTACCTTATCAACATTGTCCTGCAAACAGGGCCTGTAAAGCGTTTTTATAATAATAATTTATCTAAAACATAGCTTCCTGGCAGATCCTGGAGCTTGTTTTTGTCAAAACTGAGGCACTTAGATTCTTCAAAAAGAGCCCAATGCCTAAGACAAAAGGATCTCTGCTGAGCTGCTTACTAGCCTACTGTTGAACTTAAAGGTGTTTTTAGGAAACCAGTTTCTTCCAGGCTCAAGGTTCAAAGGGACACCTAAAAGCAAATGGTCTTGTAGGCTGAACTATTAGGTATGTCTATGAAGTAGGGAGTGTACCCAAGACCATGTATAGGGTTGGCAGATAATGGTCCTATAAGTATATTTGGAAGATCTGTAAGAATTCTCAGGTGTATAGTAGAGCTGACAAGGGACAAGGTTGTAGTCACTTCTTGGTCACAGCCAGCTACCCAGAGTGACCAAGTAGTTGAACCAGTGGACTTGGGACCATAGTCGCAGGGGACATCAAGCTCAATTGGCATAACACACTACAGAAAACATTGTTCTACCTCCTACTTTGGCGAGTAGTGGCTGGGATCTTAAAAGCTTGCAAGCAGCCATCTAGATGAAATGATGGATCTCTCCTTGTCCAAAGCAAAGAAGAATGAAGAAAATAAAAGACTCAGAGAAACAATTAGTCCTAGTAACTGGTACACCATGCGATCCTCAGCCTATACGACTACGAGACCAGAACTAGATGGTGCCTGGCTACCACTGTCAGCCACTCAGAGGGGGATCTATGTAGGAGATCCTGGATAGAGAGGGAGAATAATGTGGAACAAAACTAAAAATCATTTGGGGACAATAAAGGGGGCCAGATTTGCTGGTCTGATAGAGCCTGGTGGAACCCCTGAGACTATGGCCCCTAGCTGCCCTTCAGGTCTGGAATTGAACCCACACCTGTGTCTTCCAGCCAAACAAAAGACAGGCATATGAGTTGAACATTTACCTGAGGTAGATACACTCCTTGGAGAAATCAATCATGGAAGAAAGAAGGGCTGTTTATGCACAGGGAGATAGTTCAGGGGGTAAGAGCGCATGGAGGGATGGACACAGGGAAGAGGTAACTATCAGGAGGAAGTGGGAGGGGAGCTGTTGCATTGGGGTAAATTGTAGTCAATGTCATGAGACAAAGTGTATGTAAACTGTTGTATGGAAAGTGAATTTCCTCTAAATTTTCACCCAAATCACAATAATAATAATAATAAACGCAAATGGTCTGGGTGGGTCATCCCAACTCCATGAACCAGAAATCTAGATGCTAGAATAACTAAAACAGTTTCTCACCTCATTAGATCCTCAAAATAGCTCTGTAAGTTTAGATACTATCATTCCCCTTTTATAGATGCAGAAACTTGAGGCTTAAACTAAGTGATATGCCCGAAGTCACTCAGGCTATAAACACTGTAGATGTGTCTAAGGATCTTACTAAATGAAAGCACTCAGATAAGCCACAGGTGCCTCTAAATTTGCTAGTTAAGTATTTTTAGTTACATTTTTTTTCTGGCAATATTTATTATATATGGTTGGGCAATCTACTTCTGTAGTGATAACGCCTTGGAAACCCATGGAGGGGTTTCCACGGATCCAACTCGACAACCGTGAGACCGTGAGTTGAGATGATCATTATAAAGGATCTCTGGTGGTGCAGTGGTTAGAAGGTCGGTGGTTTCAACTCAGCAGCCACTCTGTAGAAGAAAGGTGAGGTAGTCTCCTTCCATAAAGATTTATAGCCTTGAAAACTCAAATCAGGGTTGCTATGAGCCATAATCAATTTAATAGCAATGAGTATGGTTTGATTTAGTATGATCGTTATAAGTAGTAGCCATCAAATTTAAAGAAAAGTTGCCATCACATGAGACTTTAGAAAAGGAAAACAGAACCATACAACTATATGATATAGTTTGACAGCCCTACACACATGCTTTCCTTAATCTTTCAGAAGAAGCAGTATGTATGTTTCAATCTGAGTTTTCTTAAAATGTTTTTAAAAGTTCATTGCATTTATAAATTTTTTATTTAATTCTTTTTCTTCTATTGAAGCTTTATTATTTCTTTGGGGATTTTGGTATCAGACTAAGAAACAGATGGCTACTCATGGAAAACTGATGCAAAAGTCTTTTTCAGCCACTTTTTAAAATCCTACTGAAAGCCTCATTTTCAAGACTCTTAAAAGGTAGCCAGAATCTTTGGAACCCACAGTCATTAACAGAATGTATGAGTTGGAAGTAATCATTAAATCAAAATTCCCTTATTTTACAGATAAAGAACAAAAGTAAATGGGAGAGAGTGATTTGCTCAAGGCCAGAATTACAAGATTTTAAATAATCACTCTGCATTCTACTTCCCTGGGAAACTTTTGCTCTTCTAGGAAAATTTTTTCCCTTAGTCCTGGGTTCTTTTCTGACTTTTAGTGTTGTAGTAGTTTGCAACGTTTGGGATAGAAGGGAAACAAATAGGGCCTTCTGGAATTTAATTCCCAGTCTTCCTGGGACATTTAAGTGATATAACCTTGTTGATCAAACTTTCCTTCTGCTTAATGGGCTTGTAATTCAACCAGTATTTCCTGAGGACCTATCATGTACAAGGGGAGCTCTGGTAGCCACTCCTCGGAAGGAAGGTTGGGCAATCCTACTTCCGTAGTGATACTGCCTCGGAAACCCAAGGAGGGGTCGCTATGAGTCGGGGCCGACTGGACGGCAAATAACAACAACAACAACAATCATGTACAAGACATGGTAATTTCATTTTCACAGTGAAATAGGCAGAGGGGTCGTTCTCCAAGTATATACCGATATATACAAATATACACTGATAAACTAGTGCTTTTTATGGCGATATGGGAAATTCACTCGTGGCTAGACAAATGGGTCAAGCAAGGTTTAACACCTCCCTCAGTAACGACTCTTTGCATTTTCTAGAGTAGGCGTTAAGTCGTGGCCTGGAAATCTTTCTTTTTAGATGTGGATTTTCGAATTACATCAGACAGTACTGGAGGCTGTTCTTGAATCCTACTTTTCTGCTTAAGTGATGGTAGAGATATTGGCAGGTTTCCAAGCTTTCGCCACAGTTTAGAGTTTCTCCCAAGAGCTGCAGGTCCAACCACAAAGGTACGTGATATGACAAGTGCTCACCACAGAACCTCCAAAGGTTTCTACCCAGGAGCCTAAGCGCGCGTGCGTGCCAGAGCCCCTTTGTTGCTCCGGCGCTGGGGTCCGGCTGCGCCTGCGTCGTGTGCCGGCGCGGACAAGTGCGCTGTGCTTCTGGCACCAGCTGGGGGCGAGCAGACTTCAGGCAGCCGCCGTCGCCGCCGTCGCTGCAGCCGTTGCGATCGCTGCAGCGGAGTTCAGAGGGCCCGGAGGTGGCTGAGATGTCGTCCACCGCGGCATTTTACCTTCTCTCCACCCTGGGAGGGTACTTGGTAACCTCATTCTTGTTACTCAAATATCCGACCCTCCTGCACCAGAGAAAGAAGCAGAGATTTCTGAGTAAACACATCTCTCACCGCGGAGGTGAGGGGGTCCCTGCATCCCGATGGCGGGGGGGGGGGAGGCTTTTTTCTGCACCCCACCCCAGACTGGAGCTGAGGGTCCACTGGAGCTCCACAGAAGGCCGGCGGGTGGAAATACGTGAGAGTTGGAGGAGAAAGGGTGTGTATGAACAGGACACGGAGGTGAGGGCGGTGTGGTGTCAAGGGGAGGTTTCCTGAGGGAAGGAAAGGGGTCTCGAGGGCGAGGTTCTCTCGAGTGCAGCGGAAGCAGTGTCGGGTTCTCTAAAAGAGGAAGGATCAGAATGAGAAGAAGTAGACCGAGGGTTTCTTGGCGAGTGGAAAGATCATCTCAAGGCACACAAGGGAGCGCTGTGCGGGTCGAGAATACCCCACTAGGGACACTGAGAACAGACTGCTCCGAGCAAGCCCTTGGCTTAGCGGGCGGGGTGAGCCCGGGCGATGAGCTCGTCACCTGCAGACTTCGGGTGCTAAGAAGCCGGGTGAACCGGGAGCAATGCTGCAATCCCGGTATCTGCAATCCCCGGGAGCGGGTCCCACTCCCATGCTCTGAGCGTGCTAATTGAGAAGATAGGGAAATCGAGGCCCAAGATCTGGGGATATTTCCTAGGGTCACCGTGGGCAGGATGGGGCAAGGAACTGGGGCGTCCAGCCTCTCAAGGCAGCAAATCATGCACCTGTTTTATTGAGTCACACGTTGCTCACCAACAATGACATGTGGATTTCGAAAAGGGCGAAAGAGATGGCTTAGTTTATGACAGGACAGTATTGTGTAAAGGAGACAAAGACAAGTTTCTTTTGGAAAAGTGTCTTGCTACATGGAGCCTAGGTTGTCCATGCTCTCATTTCTCAGTTAACAGGCCAAATCCTTGCTTCTTCATTATTGTATAATAATGTATTTTTATTGCATTTCAAGCATGGGGTATAAAATGTTGTGAATAGGCATAGTTCAATCAATCTTAACTGTTCTTTACAGATGAAGGGTAAACTACATTAAAATTGCTTGGGATTTACAGTATAAAACTTGATTGAGTGCCATAACCTCTTTTCTAACAAAAATTGTCAAGTTGTTATTAGGTGCCATGAAGTTGTTTCTGACTCTAAGCAACCCCATGCACAACAAAATGAAACACCAACAGGGCCTTCACCATCCTCACAATTCTTGCCCGTTGTTGCAACCACTATGTCAGTCTATCTCATTTGGGGTCTTCCTCTTTTTTGCTGACTCTCTACCTTACCAAGCATGATATCCTTCTCCAGGGACTAGTTCCTACTGATAACACGTCCAAAGTACATGAAACAAAGTCTCTCTAGCCTCACTTCCAAGAAACATTCTGGCTATACTTCTTCCAAGACAGATTTGTTCATTCCTCTGGAAATCTATATATATTCTTCATCAACACCATAATTCAAATGCATCAGTCTTCAGTCTTCCTTATTCATTGTCCAGCTTTCATGTGCATATGAGGCTATTGAAAATATCATGGCTTCGGTAAGGTGTACTTTAGTCCCCAAGGTGACATCTTTGCTTTTTAACACTTTAAAGAGGTCTTTTGCAGCAGATTGGCCCAATGCAATGTGACGTCTGATTTTTTTTGATGCTGCATCCATGGGTGTTGATTGTGGATCCAAGTAAATTTAAATCCCTCACGTCTTCAATCTTTTCTCCATTTATTGTGATGTTGCTTATTGGCACAGTTAGGAGGTTTTTGTTTTCTTTATGTTGAAGTATAATCCATACTGATGGCAGTAGTCTTTGATCTTCATCAGTAGGTGCTTCAAATCCTTTTCATCTTAAGCAAGCAAGATTGTGTCACCTTTAATCCTGTGTCCTCCAGTCCTGGTGTCATGTTCTTCTTCATATAGCCCAGCTTCTCAGATTATTTGCTCATCATACAGATTGAATAAGTATGGTGAAATAAATTGGCAAATATTAAGGTTTAAAATGTCACAGAAATACATATACATACTTTGTTTTATTTATGAAGGTCTCTGGGTGGCACAAGGAGGGTTACAATGGGTTCCTAACATAAAGGTTGGTGGTTTGAATCCACCCATCAGCTCTATGGAAGAAAGGCCTGGACATCTGCTTCTGTAAAGATTACAGCTAAGAAAACTCTATGGAACAGTTCTGCTCTGTAAACCATGGGGTTGCCAGGTCACTGTGAGTCAGAATCCACTCAACTCATGTTTTTGGTATAGTTTGATCAGTTAAACACAAATCTAAAGAGTGACTTACTTCAGTAATTATCCTAGCCTCACTCAGGAAAAGCATCAAAGGTTTTAAAGGGTCACTAGCTATAAAATGCATTGCTTTTTCGGTTAATGTGTGTTTTAATAGATATATTATTAAACTGCAAGCTGATGTAAGACTACTAATTTGCCTTCAGTTATTGGAACCAGAGTTTGTGTTTCAGTTGTTAATTTTCAATGGTAGTAATCATATTCTAAGGATAGGCAGTTCACACTACAGTTGTGTTTATAAATTTAAAATAAAAAAGGTGGTTACAAAAATTTACAAAAAAAAAAAGAAAGCTAAATCCTCTAAAACACTATCCAACTGTCATGTTAATCTTAAAAAAAAAATTGTGGTACCCTATAGGTGGAAAAAAAAAAAGCCTAAAGAGGTTCAAAATGTGCTCTAAAGAGTTTAATTATTAAAGGAAGTCAACCTTGACCATTGTGCTCTTTTAAGAGCTATCTATATAGGATCAAATCCACAACAGCTACTTGAAAGATTAGATAAGAACCTTAGGGAGCAATGAATTTATGTTGGTGGGGGAGGAACAAAGAGTATGAAAATGGTTGTACAACTGAAAGAACATAATCAATGGCACTGAATTGTACATGTAGAAATTGTTGAATTGGTGAATGCTCTGCAGTATATATTCTTAACAACAACAAAAAATAAAATTTTTAAAAATGTGTTCCACGCTAACATAGCAAGTGTCAAAGGCAGAATAAGGTAGGTCTCCAACTCTCATTTACTTGAGAGTTGGAAATACTTTTAAAATATTTTCTACCCCTAGATAGTATATCATTTCAGAGGTTTCAATTTAACCCCTTAGATAAAAATTTCTATTCGTTCTTTGTACATATGGCATCAGTATTCCTACATTCAAAGATGTAACTAAACCTTTCATGAGAACCTTGTTAAATATCTGCAGTCTCAAAATCTCTTTAACTGTATGATGGTTCTAAAAGCACTGTTATAAGTTCTCATGTTTTAGTGCTTAATGTTCTTCCATTGAAAATGCTCTCCAAGTGGTGTTGTTACCTACTGTCAAGTGACACGCCCCCACACCTGGTGGTCCCAGACCTAAATACTGCCCAGTCCTGTGCCAGCCCCAAGATCAACTCAGATTGGACCCTTGTGAGCCACAGAGTTTTTGTTGGCTGATTTTCACCAGTAAATTTTTTCTTGCTCTGTGTTAGACTTGAAACTCCTCAGAAACCTGTTCAGCATCCTAGCAACATGCATACGTCCTCTGATAGATGAGTGGTGACTGTGCATGAGGTGCATTGGCCAGGAACTGGGACTACCTCATGGAAGGGGAGAATTCTACCACTGAACTACCAGTGCCTTGCTGTTCCAATACTACAATTGATTCCAGAGTTAGGGAAGAGATGTTAAAAACACTTTGTAACTCAAGATACTAAGTGTCTGAAAAATAAACATTGATGACAAGACAAGAGTCTTATTTTTGCCTTGGATGCTGATAACAGCAACCATTGGCCTCTCTGCATATGGTTATTATTTGGGTGAGTGCAAGTAGCTGAGATTCCATGTAAACCACACGTATGACCATTCCAGGATTGAAACTTTGATCATGATATGTGTATAAAATGTATACACCTGCATCAGTATAACCTGAACCCTTTAACATCTACTACATTATGTCTGCTCTTTCACTGCCGTCAAGTCGGATCGGACTCATAGCGACCTCTCCTTGGGTTTTTGAGGCAGTATCACTATGGAAGTAGATTGCCCAACCTTCCTTCCAAGAAGTGGCTGGTGGGTTTGAACCTCCAGCCTTCTGGTTAGCAGACAAATGCCTTAGGCACTATGTCACCAGAGCTCCTTATGTCTACTACTAAAGCATTGTAAACACTTAAATGACCTTAATCAGATTCTAGATCTACCAGTAGTTAGCCTTGAGAATAAGCCTTAGCTTTCTTATCTAGAAAATGGAGACTCTTTGCCTTGCTTACCTCTATGTGTTGTTCACGAGGATTGGATATATAAAAAGCTCTTAAAAAACTGTAAAATTGCTTAGAAATGTAAGTGTGGCTATAGGGGATCCTCAGTTGTATTTAGCAATAAAACTGAGTTGATTGAGAAGGAATGAAATTACAGTAATGCTTCCAAAATTATAATACTTTTGCCTTTTATTAAGACTAATTGTCCTTAAAAATAGAAAATGTTTTAGTACTTCAAAAATTAAATATTGCAGGTTTTGTTCTTCCAGATCCTTTAAAGCATATTATATGTATTACATTATATGATTTGTTAATACATCTGCTTCCTTTACTAAACTAAAACTTCCTTGAGGCAGGGACCAGGTTTTATTAATTCCTGTTTCTCTAATCTCCAGCACAGATCCTTATGTATAATAAAAATAATAGCTAATTGTCTCTTAATTATCTACTGCTTGCTAGTTGCCTTCCATGTATTTCCCAAATTTATTTGACCAAAGAACACTTTCAGTGTAATAAAAAAATACCAGTGGGACCAAAGATATACCCTTTGGATTAAATGTAGAACAAGCAATGGTCTCAAAAGCCATTATCTTAATTACTGTAAGAAATTATCAATTTTACTAATATTTAATACAGTTTTTCATGATTACCTAAGTAAATTATGTTCATTGTAGAAAATTTGGAAAATGCTGAAATGAGAGAAGTCCCTAAACTGTTACTAGGATCCCTGGTTACACATACAGTGGTTAAAGTGCTCAGCTGTTAACCAGAAGGTCAGGTGTGTAAACCCACCAGCTGCTCTGT